CACACACACACAGAGGTCAAGCACTGCTGGAACAAAGAGCGGCTAAATGGTCATGTAAATTAATAATGAAGAGAAATGCGGTTATAGAGCCCAACAGGAAAGTCGTACAGGTGAGCCATGTTAACATGCACACACACAAACACAGGTGCACAAACACAAACACACAAACACTCGAAAGGAGAAAATAATGCTTGCTACAAACAAAGTGGTGTTATAGATAACCATAAATGGAGCTCGTGTACGGCACAGATCGTAAATCCAAATAAGCACCTCCAGCAGCGGGCCATTCCTATCTCTTATATTGCAGTTGTGATGATTTAGTGCATGTTTACAGTCAAAGTATGAACACCGTTCAATTTAAGTAATCATTATTTGAAGCAAACCAAATCTATCAGCTGTCAGTTAGGGGACTTATGACAAAGTGGCGCTATTAAAATTCATGAAGAGCGTGCCATAAACGTTCTTAAACATTTCGGCGACTTCGGCAAAACGCTTACAGTGCAGCTGAATTTTTGAGCTTCAGCGGACAAGACTGACTCACTCTGAGAGCTGCTTTCATTTAACTATTATAAAAGAGGAACCCTAACACCATCAGGAAGGTTTAGAGTTTAGAGGAAGGCGGTTCAGAAAAAGCCCGCCGGCTTCCCTTCACTACTCTTATCGGTGCAAGCACATTTTCTAAAGTCTTCCCTTAAATCGATTTTGAAGACGACTGCATTTTACAGAGCGAGATACATCGTCCTGTTCTCGTGGCCGGGCCTCTCAGCTAGTCGACAGTTGCACAGCAATGTTTTAACAATGTGGATTTTAACTTGAAGTTTAATATTTTTAATATGTCTGAAACTCCTTCTGCAACAATAACCTAAAATCAGCATTTCTGGTAACTACAGAGCACACTGGCATAACATGTGGGAGAAATTTAGATTACAGAGCTGCTTTAGCTCTGACATATTCATATGACATCAGTGTCAATCCACAGAGTGCACAGTGTTTCTATTCTACTACAGTTTCCCAGCTCCTGAACCAATATCATCCTTTATTATTAACCCAAATTCTACTTTCTATTCCATAATTACGTATAGCTTTATTGATTTGTTCCCTTATTTCATCTGTCTGCCTTTATTATTATGGTTTCTTCTTCTTCTTCTTGTTATTATCATGTATTATTTATGTATCTATATCTTTGTAGAGCCTCACAAGTCCAGATAATTCACATCCACATAACCACACACACACACACACACAGGTTTTAATGAAATATGGAGAAATGCATTAATATTTCATATTTTTACCTCCACACTTCGATATGTTGTATATTTGCTGTAACATTTTACAAAATCTGGTGATTTCATTTCAAGCAGTTAAAAGTTAGTACATCAGATTAAGCTACATATGTCTTTATCATCTGCTTTTCAAGGGTTTATACCTCTTCTGGCATAAAACATTCAACACAGTCAGTGAGTATTTAATTACTGCGTATCCGCCTTCAAAGAGTGAGCTGATCCTTTAGCACTTCCGGTAGTTTTATAGATATCTGAGCCTCAGGCAAGATACTGCTTCAGTGGCAAGTGATGGTGTGCAAACCTGGTCAGCTGAGATTTTGAGAGAAGATATTAATAATAAATCGCCTGCCTTAAGGCTAGATGACGAACGGTGACTCCTCTGAGTATTAAA